TTTCAGACCGTGAAAACGGCGAAAACTCCAGTTTTTGAGCGTTAAAACTCATTGTTTTTAAATTCTGGAATAAAAGCGCGTTTTAACGTTCAACAACGGGAGTTTTCGCCGTTTTCACGGTCTGAAAGTGAAAATTTTGCGCAAAAAACGCGTTTCTTGCGTTTTTTTAATGAGCGTTACTGACTCACAATCGCGGTTCCCTTTTGAGCGTTTAAACGCGTTTTTCCAAATGTTTGTCTGCTTGGGAATGAGACATCTTTCAGCTCTACACGACCTTCCTTTGTAATGTTACAGAAATTACAAGAAAAGTCCTTATTTCTGTAGCTGTGAGCTGACAATGAACATTTAGGGCTTTTCTTGTAATTTCGGTAACTTTACAAAGAAAGGTCGTGTAGAGCTGACGGATGTCTCATTTTAATCAGAAATATGTGGGCTACAATTATACCTCATTAAGAAAGGCTTTGGTCATCTTTTAGAATTTCTGAAACATTGTTTTTCCAATAAACCGAGTCTACAAGAATCATGCGGGTCTTACTAGCTTGATACCCTCTATCGGTCGACGTATGAACAAACGAAATCGGAAACGACCACTTGGATAGGTTTCCTCGTTAGTGGAGTTGGAGTTGGAGTTGTACCTAGCCGGAGTGAGCCAGCTCTGGATCAGTATGATGGTGTGATAAATTTTCTGTGTGTTTGGTAGCATGCCATGAATGTAACTATCTGACTACGGGTGTTCATTACTGTTAATAGAGAATTAGCTAAAAATATTTCATACGAAAGAATTTTTTCACTTATGATGAAAGATCATAAAATTCCAGTGTATGATCATTATCCGTTTTGATAACCAGACAGTCTTTTCCAATAATAACTGCATACTTAATTTTTTTTCCATAAGTCATATTTCGTTTAATAATTCCATTTTCATCGATAACAAGTAAATTATCTCGTTGAAGTGTTAAATATCGATTATTCGATAAAATAATAAGATTCATAAATTTAAAATCTTCATGTATTCGAATAATATTCATTGTTAATCTATCACGTATTTGAAATACATTTTGTACATTTAATGTATATCCATCATGTGATCGTCCATATTTAAGTATGGTAAATGCGATCTGTTTATTATTCATAAATCGAAGACATTTTACATATTCATTTGATACAAATGGTGTCCATCGTTTTTCTAATTTCCAATCAATTGTACAATATTGATCCAATGGACTACCATCATCACAATAGGCTAATAATAATTTATCACCAAAACAATCACATGTACCAAATTCACGATTATCCAATATTTTTATTTCTGAAATAACATTTATTTTCATAGTTATTACTATTTCAACAGTAAAAACTTGTTTAGTTGTTATAATAATGAATTGATTTAACATTGAAGACCAACACATATCTTTTATTATACCATGTTTCCATTCTATCATCATTTGTTTTTGTGTTCCTATTCGATTAGCAAGACACAATTTTTCATTTTCTTCACTATATAATAATATATTTTCAGATGATGCCATACGAGAGATTTTTTTAATAGATGATATTGATCTTTTTTGTATCATTTTTAATTGATCAAAAGATAATTGTACATTTTTGTATACACGAATCATTGTTGTCCAATCAATTCTATCACTTTGAGTAATATCTAATCGAATGGTATTTAGTTTATTGGTAACTAATAATTGATCAATTTCTAATTTCAATTGTTGAAGTTTATTTTTCACACAAGAAATATCTGGTTCTAATAATTTAACATTGACTAATCGAGAATTCAATTCATCATTCATCATATGAAATTTATGTTCTATTTCATTTATTGTTTGCTTTTTTGATTCATTAACATATTCACGTGCTTTATCAGCTGTTTGGTTAACTTTTTCAATCATTTGTTCTTCCCATTGATCAATTTGAAATAGAATATTCTCATCATTTTGATTTGTCTTATCCAATAATTCTTGAAAACCGAATAATTCTTGTTTTATTCGAGTAAAATCAGATAAAATCGGATTAAGATTTTGACGAATTTCTTGTATATGTACGACAATATGATGTGGACAAAATTTTTTTCTACATTCTTTACATCGAATTGTACCAAAATTTTTCTTTCGCAACGTTTTACACGTTGGACATAAGTCATTTTCCGATAAAGTTTCTGAAAACATAATAGGCATAAGAAGAAATATACGTATGAATGTAATATGTAATATAATACTTTGTGTTCATTCAACCAAATCTATTTGATAGCGTCATGTCAACGAATGATAGTGTATATGCCTATCAAAAAAATAAAACAATGGCCTTATTGTTACATAAAAACAACAAAAAAAAAATATGATAGACAAGTGTCGTATTTCCCATTCAAAAGCTTGAGACTTGAATACACACACTAAAAAATAATATGTCGCAAATTGCGACATAATATGCGACACATTCCACTGAGTATTTCTATTACAGAGAAAACCGTGAAACTTAAGTATTTTTGATCTCTTATTCGATTTTAAGAATATTTACAGTTCGTTATGAGTGCACTACGTAATGTCAACGAGCTGAATCCGTCCGTAATATTTACAGACCTTTAAAATATTTAGCTTTTGAGATCTAGGATTAATAGCGCAGTCAAGGCCTCGGATTGGTTCTTTTCGTTAAAGAAAATGTTTAACATAGAAAAAAGGTTAAAAAGACTTAGACAGGGATCTTTATCCACAACTAACACCAATTCAAAATTGAAAGAACTTAAAAAACCCGAAAACTTTCTTATCTTTTACGTATTAGCCCCACCTATAGCTCATCAAAACTAAAGAGAAAGCCGAGAAAAAGCCTAATAAGTTTTATCGGCAATATATTTTTTCATTACTTACTGAGTTTGCTCAACTTCTAAAATAGATGCTGAAAGAGACATAATTTTCTTATATTTGAACGTTTGGAATTTTTAATAATACGCAATGAAAATCATCTCATTGAATGAGATTTTTAATATTGAATAAATTTAGCGATTAATAATACTGTCCATGTTACAGTACAGTGGCCATGGCCGTCTTTTTAAATAGCATTGGAGGGAAAAGAGATATAGAGTGCCGACCATCGCCACTCGATAAGCATGTATTCAAAACAATTTCTAAAACAATACTTCAGAATAAAAACATGGTTCCTAGGTTTTTTGATAATAATGACGTAGCAGAGAGAATTAGTCACATCTTGATATTTTCTGTTCGAAAGAAAACTGTGTTGAACGTTGCGGTAAACTTATGAACTAGTTATCAAAGAGCGATGTGCTACACTACATGCAGGTGGTGGTTTTAACGGGCGATACAACTGTCTCGATGCAATTAGGTCTTCACTTTCCAACAGTGTAAAAAGCACATGTTTAGCATGCTTCTGTAAAACGTTAATCAAAAACAGTCTTGCGCACGGTGTTGTGAGAGTGATAGCAATCGCTAGTAATTCTTTTAGAAATTCATATTTTCTCTACAGTCTCTGGTGAATTTTCCGGATTAGGTGCAAATTGCCTTCTGTACTATTCTACACTCTAAACAAAAGTTTCGTATACAAAACCTAAAAGGGTTTAGAAAAGTATCTAAATCCGACACGCTTTATGGTTTGGTAAAATGCTGCAAAGAAGGACATCGTAGATGTCAAAAACCTCCTAATAAAGCCTTTTTATGACGGATAATAAACCCTTAAAAAAAAAGGTTTAGCAGAGGATTTTTGACGTCTGGGTTTTTCGAGACAAAGAAAAACCCCAAGGATTTTTTACCTGCTTCATGAAATCTTTGAATCTTCAGAAAAAGCCCTAATTGTTTTTTTGAGCGTAGACTGAAGTCAAGAGAAAGTTCTCTTATTAAAAAACTTTTTTCTTCTTATCTTGGGTATAGGCCATCTTGCGACGCACAGGTTAGGCAGACAGACATTTCGTTTTATGACTCTTAAGCTATAGTCAAGAGAAAAACTTATTTTCTCATAAAAGCATGCGCATACTGGCTACTCATGCTAATCAACTATTCCGAGAACGTTCATTCGGTTAAATTTCAGAATAAAACTTACTTTTCTTCTTGCACAAATGTCTTTTGTCAACCGATCATTGTAGACTACAAGTGAAAGTCGATGGATTGCGACTCTTAATACACATAATTATTTTTCGAAAGAGACTGAATCCATGAGAACCACGGTCAAAAAAGCGAATCGAGCCGAACGCTTTCAAATAAAGCCTTTATTGTTTGAAAGTTCCAGATGACAATCGTTCTTAAGGGTACCTCGCCCTCCCCGCTTTTTTCACCTTGTTGCCAAAAGCGGAGCACATGTCCGATTGAGCTCCAATTAATAGCAGAGATACGACATTGAAAAAGAAAATCGATCTATTTTTACCCAGAATTTTCTGAGAAGTTCTTGTATGGGTTTTCTGGGACCACTCCTCGAAAAAATGAATGTTTGAAAAAACATCCCAAACTTTTCGATCTTCATTTCATCATTAAAGTTTTATTCATTGAAAGTTTAATCGAAGTTATGGCTACTCTTTCGAACAAGTTTATCTCTTATGCAGAGACTGTAGAAATTGCTAAAATCCTTTCAGAATATGAATTTCTAAAAGAACCAGCTATTGCTACACAGTGGGCAATTTTGGCTAGGCATATGAACATGTGCCATAAAAGTGATACGAAAGCCTCTAAACACTATTTTTGTAGGTTTTCGTATGCGTTCTTTCCAATGGTGTGATTGACAAACTTCATAAACACTTTTAGTCGAGTTTTCTAAAGATCGGATCTTTGAAAAACATTGATAAAAATATATCTGAACTTGTAAGCTACACCATTGGAAAGAACGCATACGAAAACCTACAAAAATAGTGTTTAGAGGCTTTCGTATCACTTTTATGGCACATGCCCACATGTCAGCCAAAATTGTTACGGGAATGCTGCAAATCTGTCATTCCATTAAATCGAACGATTTTTTGCGCATAAAACATACAAATGACATATCATTCGATACAGTTCGATACGCTGGTTCCAAATAAATCATTAGTTTTTTATGAAAGTATTTCTAGGGTGAGAAAAACGAATTTTACCTGAAAACGCCAGATATTTTGAAAAACGTATAACTCAGCTCAGGAGCATTTGCGCTGGTTTGCGCTAACAGCGTGGATATAGCGTTAGTAGATGGATGTTCGGTGAAAATTTCATTAAGCTTGAACTTTCGCTTACCTTCGCGCACCCACTATACTGCGGAACGCTTTTTGGAACACACTTAGCGTAGAAAGAAAATTATTTTCTCGGTAATAAAGCGTTCTAGAAAATTTTTTCGTTTAAGAATAGATAGAGTCAAAGGTCTAGTTTCGCACGGTGTATAAGTTTTGGCTCAATTTTTCAAATAATTTTTCATATCAAAACCATTATCTGTCCAAATGAACAGCAACCGCGATCATTTCTTTATAACTTCTTATCGCAACAAGAAAGGGACTGGGGTCTAACAAACTGGTTCTCTGTCTGTGTGTCTGTCTGTGTGTCTGTGTGTCTGTCTGTGTGTCTGTGTATCTGTGTGTATGTGCGCAAAATACGGAAAAATGGGTGCTCGATATTCTATGGATAAGCGAATTACAAGAGAGAGAAGTAGAAAATTATTTTTACAGAAGGGAGAAAATCTTCAAAGAGATGATCTGAAATATCTCCCGCTGCAGAGAGACAAAAAGCTACCCAAACGTTTTCTGTAGGCCGGTGACAGATGTCGCCACATAGCAATCAACTGTGATAATACAAGAAAAGTCGGCTACCCATAATCTAACTTACAGTGTATAGAGAAGCTATCACAGCGAATCGATTAAAAATAGTTCCAGTCTCCTTAGGATCCGTAAAGAGTGTCCAGAAAACCTTTTAGCTTTATTTACATTAGTTGTTTTTTCCGTGGAAGCAGAGAAGTTCACAGCGTTTCTCAGCTATACTGGCTGCGAACGCCGGCCGAAGGTAGGCGTGAGCATTGATTTGAGCTCAGGAATATTTCTAGACTTTTGGGACTTTTTGCCTTGTATATTTATATTAGATAACGAACCTTACACATGAAAACAGAAAAACACCAAGAAGATGGCTTAGTTAGGCCCCCAGCGAGCGCCGACCGAAGGGAGGCGTGAGCATTCTCTTCGATTTAAAAGTCACGACAGCGCGTTCAGTAGCACAGATCCAGGATATTAACGGAAAGGGACCGAGCGCGTGGAGACGAGCGTTGCCTTGTAGTCTAGGGTCTTACAAAATGGTTTTCTGTATGTATCTCTGTGTGAGTGTGCGCAAAATACGGAAAAATGGCTGTCAGATATTCTATGGATAAGGCAATCATAAGCGAGAAGCACATAAAACCTACAGTGTACAGATAATCTATCATAGCAAATCGGTTAGACATAGTTCCAATCTCCTTGGGATCTGTAGAGGGTGTCCCGAAAACCTTTTGGCTTCATATTACATCAGACGTTTTTTCCGTGGAATCAGAGAAGTTCACAGCGTTTCTCAGCTATACTGGCTGCGAACGCTGCCCAAATGGAGTCGAGAGCATTGTTTTGAATTCAGAAATAATTTTAGACCTCTGGAGATCTTAGCGGGATCTCGAGA